CATACAAACCGTATCTTAAACACAACAAATTGCTTTTCAAACGAAAAACTAATACCGTAATCGCAATCTAATACCAAATAAGCAGACTACATTTGAAGTCATTACAAGTTCTTAGTTCGCATCGGATTGAGACAATTTTTATCCTGTTGCGATGCTTCCGATGCTCGCTGGAGTGGAACTTTGTAGATATTGCCTCCATCCCCTTTTTTACCTCCCTCAGTAGTCCGGTAAGTTAGTGTAATTTGTTTACGTTTTGTGATGATTGAGAAAGTTCCTGATTTTGTAAAGCCAGTTATATTAAATAGCCAACCTCTATAAGTTTCAAAAGTTGGGAGTTTTGCTCTGGGCATAAAAAACAAAGTTTTTGATGATTCGGAAGCGTTCCCATATACATTTAAATGCATCGGTAATTCTTAGCTTCTTTTGGGTTGACCAAACTTTGTTACCAAATTAGGGTTTTAACTTTGAATGAAGTAGTTCAGCTGCAAATACATACAAGGTTGGGGAAGTTTATTCACACTTTATATGAAAATTCAATTTTTTTTTATTAAAATTTATTTATATTTAACTATCGTATGTAGCCGCCATTTTGTTTGATAAGTTTATGCCATCTTGTAGGTAGGTAAATGATCCCATTGCTATAGAAATTTTTCGACTTCTGAACAAAAAACAGCGATAAGTGGTTTTGGCAGTTAACCGACACTGCCTAATGAATTTTGAAGAGAGCTAAACAGGTGGAAATCTGAAGGTGCAAAGTCAGGACTATACGGTGTATGCATTAACACTTCATAATCACTTTCTTAAATTTGCTGAGTGGCTAAAGACGTGTGAGGTCTAGCGTTATCATGATGAAAAACCATATCCCTTCTGTTGATTAATTTCGGCCGCTTTTTCTCAAATTACTGAACTTAACTAAAAAGCTAAACTATTAGCTTGAAAAACCTCGACATTTAAAACTTTTAAGGAAAACTATAACGGTGACGATAGATTTGTTAGTTTAAGAGTAATAGTCGTTCCATTATGGTTAAAGAAAATTTCTTACCTATTAAAAAATCCTTAGAAGAAAACATTAATAGTGACATAGATGATGTTAATATAAAGTAAACCTTGCATTGCAACAAAATCTTAAAAGAAACTATTTAAAAACCACAATAAAACATCATTAGTTCCACAACGCTACCGCGAGTACCAACGGCAACGACTTCTGAGTCGCGTTAACGTTACGTTAAAAAACGAAAAAGAGTACGACGAAGGTGAATAATAAGGTGAACGTTTCATACAAATGACATGTTTTTGTTCCAGGTACAACGAAGACTGGATAGATGAAATCTATGGCTCCAAACTCTCGGGGCTGACAAGATGACGCCGGCTGCTCTCCTAGTCTTCTGCTCGCTTCTCACTAGGACGCTATGTGTTATAGCACCGCAGATACCAGGTAATAACTTACTTGGTACTTGTGATTAGCTCCCGTTTCCGCACGTAGACTTTGTATTTGGTCCATTGTGCGTGTAGTTGATCTAGCGTAGCCACCAGACTCCTTCCAGAAGTGCAGTAGTTATCTGGAACAGGTAATTAATTTATTGACATCATCACCATCATTTTTGAAACAGATTCAATGTGCTTAAGTTGAAGTACGTAGAATCCGGGGATGATCAGGGAGAATTTCAAAATTATGCTTGGTCCAACAATTGGCCATAGCAAAAATTGGAAAACCCAGTTCTTTTACGAGCCACGTATGAATACCTACTGCATGTCAATACGTGAATTACTAGAAAAATAAAACGGTCTGTAATTCTTTAGGAAAAAGTTTTCGTAATGTTGACGATGATTAATGGGAAACGGAAAGTAATTTTGCATATGTACCTATGTAAGGCGTTTCTTAAGACTTTTATGTAACAAAATTAAATGAACAAAAAACAACATTTAGATTACGAACAGTTGTGACACTCCAACATTTAAAAACGTGATGACGATCTAAAATCAAACCTTCTTGCTATAAAATTTATATACGAATAAATAGGAATCTAAGATACCCTTTAATTCTTTGGTAAAAGAATAAAATAAATTTTAAAGTGATATTTTACAGACTTAGCCAGTAAAGTTTATCAAAGCCTAGTTTTGTTTAATCAGTTTGAGCTTTAATTCTTCTTGAAGTACTTTCATTTCTCAGTTTCAAACTTTTATAGGAAAATTTTATAATTTGAAATGAGAGAATATTTGAAACAGAGTAGAGCCAAGTAATCCTATTAGGAATTAATGCTATATGTAAATCTTTTTAGGTTTCCGTACCCAAAGGGTGAAAATGGAGCCCTATTGTTGTCACTCTGTCGTATGTCTGTCTGTCTGTCCGTATGTTATGGGTCTCTAAGTCATAAGTCATAGAACTGAAATTTTGGTATTTTATGTAGAATGCTTGCCCAAAGCCGAATATTTTGTTAAAATTCAATTAAATTATTTTTCATTGGGGTCCCATACAAGAAAAGGAGACGTAAATAGTTTTTTTCTTTTTTTACACCCCCGCCTGTGACTGTTCATGTGAGAGCTAGTTGAGTACGATATAAATATATATTTTATTATTTTTTATTTTCAATAACAAAGAAATGGGGGGCCGTCAAAATTGACATTTTTAGACCATTTTTCTTAATCGAAACTAGTTAGGAATGTGAAATTTTATTATATGGTGTCCTATATGCTTTATTTTAACAACTAATACTCAAAACGCCAATTTAAGTTGTGACGAAAACAAACAAATGATTTATCCTTTCGTGGTTTGTAGTACTGAACTTTCGTCCGACTCGCACTCGGCCGGTTTTATTTACTCACTAATCCACACTACGCCCGCGTAGTGGGTCATGACATGATGAGGATGATCTTGAAGTAGTTTTATCTTCAAATTTAGGATACAAAGTACAAAGGCAGTATTTTCATAATAGTTCTTATCTCTCGGTTTGAACATAGGCTCATTCTCGTAATTGAACAAAGAAGCCACATTACTGATTCAATTCGGGACTTGAATTCTTTTATAATTTTATTATTTTAAAGCATGTTGCTAGTAAAATTTCTCAGGTAACTCAAAATTCACGGTGTATCGTTGTTTGATAAATAATTGAATAGAAGGAAGACCAAAACTGATAATGGGTATGGATGGACATAAAAATCGCGCAGATAAGTGATCAAATAAAAACACTGAAAAAATATATAAATAATAACTAAAATAAATACAGTTATCAATAGTGATTAAATACAATCTTCATAAAAGTTGTTGCTTCATGTTTTAGTCTTTTACAATAACAATTTTTAGACCAAGATAACCGGTTGTGAAATTTGTATTTGTACCACCGCTTCCCACGGCTCTTCAATTTGTATAATGCATTCGAAATTACGTATATCTGCAGACACTGGACAGTATAAAAAGTTACTTGTAAATCTAAAGACTTATGATAAAAATACCATGTCATTCAAAGACTGACGTTGCTTAATGTACTTTTTTTACAGAAAATATTTTCTATTCACAAAAAAATCCTGTTATTCTTCGGCAATACTTAAAAATAACCACAGAAAGTTAAGTTTTGAAGCTATTGTAAATCTGATTCAATACCAAGTAATTTGTCTAGAAATAACTTTAAAGGCTGTGCTAGTTTTAGGAAACATTTAAGCCAACGGGCAACTATGGCCATTATTGTTTTCCAACAATAGCTTATGTATAGTCTGACCGGTGGTGTAAAGGCTGGATTGAATTGTGAATGTTCTAGTTGAAGCAGACGTTGCCTTTGGGTTTACAGGAGAAGCCAATGTTACGGATTGTGAATTTAATAAATGATTATTTAGCTTCGAACAAAAGTTTAACTTATATAATACTAGCTTTTGCCCGCGACTTCGTCCGCGTTTTCGTCGTTTTTCGTAAAAAAGTAGCATATGTCCTGCCTCAGGGTTCCGTGGTTTTGATGTGACAGACAGATTAACTTTCGTATTTTAGTAGGGAAATATAATATGTCAATCCACAATACTGTTAAAAATATCGCAATAAGGAACCGCAGAATATTATTATTATCACTGTGCCCCAAGACCATCAGCATGTAACTCCTTGTATGTTATTATGTTAATGTATTGGTAATATTGTTTAAATCACTTTCACATGAGGCTTAAGTACATATAGAATGAAAATACTTCAGCGCAAAGCTTCCGGGTAAACTACGTTGAAAGTTGACCCGTCCGGCACATGAACATAAAGATTTCTAGAACTGCTAACCCGGGAAAGAGCGACATATAACTGGCCATGTGAAAAGCAACTGACACCGAGATCTACTCCAGCAACACGAAAAGTCTGCCCTTGAGCCTTATTTATTGTCATTGCATAACACACCGATACTGGGAATTGCGTTCTTTTAAATTGGAATGGAAAATTATTTGGTATTATGGGAATTCTGGGAATAAAGATGGTTTCTCCTGCACCGCAACCTGTTATAATTTGAGCCTCGATTACATTTTGTTACAACTGGGTTACTTTAAGCCGAGTTCCATTGCAAAGTTGTGGTGGTCTTAAATTTCGGAGCAGAATAATCGGAATGCCAATTTTTAAACAAATTTCATGAGAAGGAAGTCCGGGCATATTTAAAGAATTTAAAAATTCTATCGGGTAATTAGTGGCTTCTTATTCATCGGCCATTCTATTTATTGAACTATAACTTTGCTTTCCCCCTAGGTATTCGACAGTATTTTATTATTAATCTCATATGCCTGGTCATTGCGAGGAGTTAAAATGGACCTTTCGCATAGTCAAGAATTGTCCTTATTTAATATATTTGTTACGTCACCGTAAACTGACGATATAAGATGTTATTGGGATTGCACTATACAACATAACTCAGACGTCGGAATAAGTTTTCCTTGGTGTAGCAGTGGATAGGTATCTTTGGTGAAGGTATTTTCTTTAATAATATATCAGAAAATTCACGATCATCCGGGTTATCTACAGTTCTCACTCGCATGTTTATAGTCAAATGCACCGATTGTATATCACGCCACAAATAAGAGCTTTTCAGGCAAGCCCTAACCTCATCAGCTCGGGTTCCCCGTGGTATTACCGGTAAGGTTAGTCGGAAATCACCACAAAATAAAACTGTCATACCGCCCATTGGTCGATCATTTTGTCTTATATCCCTTAAAGTTCTGTCTACCGCTTCTACTCCTTTTCGATGGGCCATCGTACATTCATCCCATATGATTAAATTACACTTTGAACGAATATTTAAACACTACCAAAACAACTAATACGTGGTCCTAACTTTAGCTAATTTACACATAAAATCTAAGTGACTATTAACACTAAAATATTCTTATAGAATTATAACCAGAAATATATACAACTCACAACAAAAAAGAAATGAAAATAAAGCTGAAACGCCTGTGCAATACTATCTACCTATACCTACTTCACTTAAAAATAAATACTTATAACGACTTTCATTAATAAAAGTACCTACGCTTAATAATTTTTAATTTGAACGAATATTTAAACACTACCAAAACAACTAATACCTATTTTACAAAATAACAACAAAAGAAATTCAAATAATCTATTTAAAGACTAAAAGTCGCGCTGATAAGCACGGTTTCTCAATATCAATTATTGCCTGTCAATAAGGTCGAGCGCTCTGAACGCATCAACAGCCAAATATTGAAGCTCGCTCGCTCTCTTTTTTTTATTTTTTTTGTTTCGTCCCAGGCGGGGGAGCAGGTGAGAAATCCTCATGGATACCCTACAGCCGGCTGCAAGGTTATGTCAGACTCGTACTGACTAAAAAACACCCGTAGGGGCTGCCTCTGGCCGGGAAGGCCTCTAAGGCTTCATCGGAAGCGATCGTCCCCCACGGAGCGACGCAGAAAACATGTTTAGACAGCTCGCTCTCGGACCTCCCGCCTTTTGATACCCTACCGCCGCGCCGCCGCGACCCGTGTCGAGCGCGGCAACCGTTACACAAAAATAATCCTTATAGCATGATTCAGTATTCACGTGCGACGGCGCGATGGCTTATGTCATGTATAAGTTTGGTGTTTCTATACCGATTTCTAAGTTTTTTTTTATTGAATATGTAATAATGTTAACTTTTTTAAATTAGGGATGAGTCAGTGTTTTATAAACGTAAGAGTAAACAAATATGATCAGAATGCTCCGAACTGTTAAGCTATCGGGAGTTACACGTGTTATTGTGAGTCAACCATAAAAGATAGACATATGCTGTTGCGAAATATTTTTTAGACAATTTTATGTAGAATATTTCCGTCATACATGATTTCTATGTAACTTTAACCATTAAGGCTGCACACGCGACGGAAGCTTAAAAAATGGAGTAACTTCTCCCGTTTTCCCAACATTTCCCTTCACTACTCTGCTCCTATTGATTGTAGCGTGATGAAAAGTATACTATAACCTGCCCAGGAGTATGAGGAATAATTGTACCAAGTTTCGTTAAAATCCGTCGAGTAGTTTTTGTTTCTATAAGGAACAAACACACAGATAGACAGACAGACAGACAAAAATTTTACTGATTGCATTTTTGGCATCAGTATCGATCACTAATCACCCCCTGATAGTTATTTTAAAAATATATTTCATGTACAGAATTGACATCTCTACAGATTTATTATAAGTATAGATAGAAGATTAATGAAAGACGTTATAAGGTAACATACAAATAGCCGTATCGTATGTATAAAAGGGTATCACTTGAGTTGACTCGAATGTTATATAGGATGCATTTTTATATAAAAAAATAATATGTAGGTTTGTCGTCAACAAAATACGGAATGATTTCAAATATATTTATCTGCAAAAAAATATTCTCATAATGGGATGTACCATTTTATTATTATAATAAAACGTTACAATAACAATATTTTAGACTTGGGAATTCTCATAAAATTCGTCGAAGGCGGTTTTCCCTTGGTACATGGTAACAGTAGTTATAGTAAATTTGTGACCATGGAATGTGGATCAAACGATAACGCCCACTAGAGACCTGTTTCGGCTGTGCGAAGTAAGCAATTTACTTATTGATTCTTATTTCCTTTTCTACATTTCCTTTTTTTTCTACAAACTGTCCTCGTTATCACGAACAAAAGCAATTTTGTCATACATATTGTGTCGATTGATTGATTTGATAAGAAGAGAGCTTGTAAAAAATTATCTAAAGCTGTTTTCTTTGATTACTTTATCTAATTCTTTGGGTTTCTTTATTTTAGAGTGACAAAAAAAGCCCGATAAAGACGCCTCTGTTGTTTGTCCATCTCTAAAAGGGCTTGATCTCCTGATAGGCAAACAGAGACACCTGTAAATTGTATAGAATTTACAAAAAATAATAGAAATAAATAAACTAAAAAGGTAAAAGGTCTGTGTTTCCAAAAATGTTCCAAAAGTGATATTTCAACTTCTTTTTTCCGGTCAGTCTTCTATATACATCGTTGTATAGTACGCAGGTCAATTTATAATTCCACCTCGTTCTTCCTTTAGACTTCAAAACCGGTGACAAGAAGGTTGTCAACGGTCCCTTCTGGCACGAGGTGTTCACGGAGACGTACGAAGATCATGACGAGGACATCTCCACTACCACTTCGGAGCCGCTGCCGTTCTTCGAAGACGACGCGTCTACAAACAATGTGACCGCACAGCTGGGTAGCAGGGTCCACTTACACTGCAGAGTTCACGACTTGGGCGAAAAGACGGTAAGAATCATTTTCTTCTGATAAAGCATTATTTTTTTATAGGTTCAGGGTCAGAAAGTTGATAAAATCTCTTTTCCCATAAGTATGCAAGGATGGTTTTTGGTTTAATATCAACTTTTTAGATGATCTCAGTAAAATTCTATCTCTATATGAATGTTATATAATTCAATATCTGCTTTTTTATAGAAGGCCAGCAAGTTGATACCATCTCTCCTTGTATTAAGTGTGCAAGGAGTCTAATGCTGCTAATATAATTGATTAGGTAGAAATACGTTCCTGTCTGAATTCTATTCTGGGTCCTATGATTCCGCGGCGCCAGACCATGACATGGCGACAGTCGGATTTTAATGTAAGAAACATGCGTGATATCTTGCTGGGTGCTACCAAACTAAACTAGTAAGGGTTTCGTGATCCGGAGACTCTCCGCGCTATAGCCTTGCTTACAGCTACAAAAACATAACAGTGCAGTTTGAAGAAAGTCGAAGGCGGAGCAATATTCCAAATCAAGCAAAAAGTCTCTAGTAACAACTTTATAGAAACTTTTGCGTAATGAGCTTAAACTTACCTGTTCACAACTCAATATTAACCAAATGCTGCAAAAGCCTTGCTTTATCCCAAACTAATAAACAAACTAAAACTGTGCAAGTTACTTCCCTTACAGAGTTGCTTATTGTAAGGTGACCTAATGCATGGTCTTTAAGCGAATAGCCCAATACGAATTTGTCAGTTCAACTAAGGTGATAATTATTATTATGGTAATTTATAGAACGCGCTTTCAACTAATTATCCATTGTCATAAGATGATATTAATTTAATTCAATTAGCACCACCTGTTGAATCTTGAGCTTTATTCGCTGTTTGATGTAAGGTATCCGGAGGCATCATCTAAATTATCTTAAATTCAAAGAAGGGATGTTTTTTGTCACTCCATCAGAGTAGGAATGATGAAAAAAATAGATACTTATATCTTCTATCTAGTGAATTACATCGTAGACAATGCAAAGCATTTTAAAAGAACGTACTGACGAGGTTAGTCCTTTCCAAATTAAATAAATTATTACATTAGGTTTGACTTCATTGTGTTTCAATATAATTTTTGTATTGATGCTATCTTAAATAAAATGACAATTTAGTGTTTGATCTATAGTAACGAGTTTTATGCATATGTTTAATGAAAAGATTTTGATTATTATGATTATAATAAACAAAGAAATGTTACGGCAATCAATTGGGAATTTCAATCCATATATGTTAAAGAGCTTTACGCGACATCAAGCACACCTGTCACTTAGGCCATCGATTCTAGAGCCAAATTAACCCGACACTATACCAAAAATATCCCGGACGTCAGCCTATACGAGATAAGTGTAGCTGTCAAACAGATTAAGAACAACATGGCACCGGGTGATGACGGAGTTACGGCAGGGCTTCTGAAAGCAGGTGGACGAGTGGTCCTGAAAGCTCTTCAAAAGCTTCTTCTTCATTCTTCTTCTGCTAAGTCATATTCGAGAGCAAAAAGGCGTAAGGCGTGACACACGGCATGGTGCCACTCTTCTTTAAAAAGGGTGGTAGGACCCAACTGAATAATTATAGATCCATGACGATCCTGATTCATGTCTACATATTGTTTACGTAAGTTATAACGAATCATCTCGTTCTCAGGTTTGCCTACTTCCAGCCTCCCGAACAAGCTGCATTCTGGAAAGGTTATAGTACTATAGACTACATATATACGCAGCGGCAGGTTATACAGAAGAATAAAGAGTAGACTTTTGATGAAAGTCAAAACCGATATAACTTCAGAGAGGTGGGAAACAGGGCGACGTTATATCGCCGAAACTGTTCACAGCTGCGGCGCTAGAATATGTGTTTGAGCTTTTGAACTGGTGAGGACTTGGCACCAACATAAATGGCGAGTACATTCGTTTTACTGATGATATCGCAGTCATGGCTGAGACTATGGAAAATCTGAGCGCACTGAGAACAGAAAGGTCCTCGAGTGGAGGCCGCGTACCGGGAGATGCAGCGTTGGTAGGCCCCCCATAAGGTAGGCCGACGATCTGGTGAAGGTTGCGGTTCAGTTTGGAATTCCTTGGGGGAGACCTATGTCCAGCAGTAGGCGTCTCTCGGCTGATGATGATGATGTTAAAGATATTGTTATAGAGATGGCTTTTTGGGTAGAGAAGCAGATACTTGCTTAATGAGCAACCCTAGTAAAAATATGTTTTACATACATAAAAGCGATGTGCTTAGATTGTCTTCGACTATGCTTGGTACGTACATTATACAATAACCAGCTCCAGCCCTGGAGTGTTTATATGAAATACGTAAAAACATGCAATATATCCCAAACTCTAATAATATGGAAATTCGATGCTGCATCCGCCAATAGATCTAGGTCAAGCGTTCGATAAGCTCTTGTGAAGGCATTTACTATACACTTTGGTACAGTGAATACCTTATTAAACGCTCTCCTAGTAAAATTAACTTTTTAGTTTCAATTCTGAACTTTGTGTCTATTGGGATTAACAATATTACTACATAGTATATGTTTGTAGCTTTTCATTTCAAGTCCCTTGCGAGGTTGGCAGATATCCAAATTAGGTTGGACTATTTATAAGTCTTAATTTGATAATTCCTGGTAGAGGTAATATAAACTTACATCAATTAATTGTGTCAGTATGTCATAAGTTAAAAATTTCGATCAAAGATAAATATTTATAGAAATATTGATAAATTTGCGATTAAGGCGTAGGATTGTGAAAGTCAAAGCAATTTTAGCTGAAGTTGGGCAAAGGGTTGGTTACTCCAAATTATACAACAAATAATACTTAAACAGTGCTATAGTTGTTAAAATCCACTAATCCGCTCTTGGTTCATATGGTGCTTTAAAGGCTATTCTCCATTAAGGAGTTTCTGTGGGAAATGTTTATGGCCCAGGAAGGGCGGTATTAAAACCCTGATGTTCATATATATGCAATGAAGGAAACGAAGAGTATCTTTTTATGAACAAGTATGGCTATGGAAAAAACTGTATTTAAGGAAAACTAAACCCAAAACATAATTATTGAAATAATAGACCATAACAAAAAAAATGGAATTTTATGAACCATAGTATAAAATAATGTCAATCTCGCTGTCTGTACTCTTAGATCTTTTACGGATTTTAATGCTGTTTTCGTTTCCAGTAATAAAGTGAGTCAAAAGGAAAGATGAGGGACTATTGTCCGCGGACTTTTATGTCCGCAAGAATAGATCGTTTACAACTGCACAGAGTAACGCACAACGCATACGACGAATTATAAGTACAGCGTACAAAAAGTCCCCGAACAACCTAGGACACCGAGACACAGGACAGAACAAAAACAGAACAGTGTTTGTTTCAAGGACCGCGTCTGCAGAGGATAAATGACCCTCGTCTGCCCAGGCTATATTGGCTATAGGCCCATTATTTCAATAAATTAAGTAATAAAAGCATAATATATCTAATATTTTAGTTAAAGATAGAAAGCGTAATGTTTTTTTTTATTTATTTATTTAATCTTTATTGCCTTATATGCAAATGGCGGACTTAATGCCAATATGGTATTCTCTACCAGTCAACCGGAAAGAACGTGCAGAGCGAATATAACGGCAAAGAATAAAAAAAATAGAGAGTTAACATCAAACAATGCTAAAAACAAAATTAAAACATAAAGATAATTATATATACACATAAAAAATACATGTCCTATATATATCTAATAATATATTACACATAAACAAAAAATCATACATATAAACATATACTCAATTATACAGTGTCCGATTATAGTAATCTGATAGAGCTTAAGCGCTTTCCAATAGATTAAAGTAATGTTTCCGCGTTTAAGACTTTGTCTTAAACGCAGCCTTGTTTGGAGCGTTTCGCACGTGTAGAGGAAGTGCATTCCAGAGCCGAATGGCAGTAAGAGTAAATGAACTGGAGACAACACTGGTATGGTGAATAGGTACACGAAGAATCACATTACTATTAGAACGAAGATTTAATTGATGAGAAGACCTCAGGAACTAAAAACGAGATTTTAGATATCCAGGAGTGCGTGGATCATAAAGTATGTTGTAAAGAGTGCAAACTATCCTTAAGTGTCTACGCTCCCGAATAGGCATCCATTTAAGTTTGCTGCCGAATTCAGAAATGTGGTCGTATTTTCGCAAACCGAACACGAAGCGAATAGTGTTTTTTTTTTTTTTTTTTTTTTATAGTTAGGTCCGACAAATGACTCCACCCCACCTGATGTTAAGTGAAGGTGAAGTCCAGACGCGAAAATGGCTGATACAGCAGTTCTACCTGCCACAACAGCCATCCTCACCCTGTCGGCCTGCATGTTGCTTCTTCACGCCTCTTTTAAAGGATCCCAGGTTGTAAGAGGGAGGGAACACGTGAGCGGGCAGAGCATTCCATTTACGGATAGTGCGACAAAGAAATGAGTCACTAAATTTCTTTGTACGCGTTGGAATTGTGGCCACAGTAAGACGGTGACAACGTAGGCCAGCGCGCGTAGTCCTTTGAAGGAAAGGGGAAGGTGGGATAAGAGAGAATAACTCCTCAGAACACTCGCCGTGGTATAAACGATAGAACGCGCTTAGTGACGCCACGTCACGGCGTAATTGAAGAGGCTCAAGGTGTTTAGTCACCTCCTCATCGCCTATGATGCGGATCACGCGCCGCTGTAACCTATCCAAAGCATCGAGCAAGTACTTGGCGGAGCCATCCCAGAGGTGCGAGCAATATTCCACGCAGGACCGCACTTGCGTTTTGTACAACAAGCACAGTTGATCGGGAGTGAAAAAACGCCGCACCTTGTTCAGGACTCCGAGTTTGCGTGAAGCTGTTTTGATCACGGTTTCGATGTAGTCCTTTGGATTCAGGTCTGAGCGAACTTCCATACGTTGCTCTGCAGCGGTAGTGTTGTGCCCTGAAGAGATGGAAGGGGAAGGAATGGCGATGTTTTTGCCGT